GTCAAGTACCCAAGACACGACCAAGGTGTCCGACTATGGAATCAGATGAAAGAAAAAGGTAGTGACTCGGGAGATTTTCAGCACAGGCGCGTAAATCTGGGTGACACAAGCATACAAGGCAAAGATCATTTTAACAGATGCTTTATTTATCAGTCTTCTGCTGTACTGTCAAGCTTACTGACTGCATTGGTGGGGGAGTAAGGAGTTGTAAGTAAAATCAGTTCAAGCCTAGCATAACACTGAATTGCGTCCGATAATGGATCTCGTGACGCTACGTTGCTCGTTAACTAGCAGCTCAAGCTAACACTCCCATTCGGGTTTGCGCTTCACAGCAGCACCTATTTAGAGCAAACGGCACTTTCATTCTGTTAGTGAATGTAAGATAAAACCTGACTCTAAAACGTAACAGAAAGCCCAGTAATAACACTCCTGTGTGGGTAGCTCCTGAGCCACCCCTGTGCTAAAACCCTGTGTTGCAGCGGCAGCAGCAACAAACCCAAGACAAAACAGTCAATGCGCTGTGGGCAACTCACCCAAAAGATACCACTGTACTGTCGACCATATGCTGCTGCAGTTCAGCGATGAACACCCATTAGAATGATTCCTGCGGTTGGGGAGCATCCAGGTGTTGCGGTGTTAAGATTACACTATTCCAAACCCTGCTTCGCTTTGACGGCTGTTGTCTGTGCTGAGACCGCATATGTGTGTATGCTTATGTGTTTGTGTGTGCGTGTGTGTGTGTATGGAGCTTTGTGAGGCCTGCTGCTGGAAGGAAATGGTCTCCACTCCGTCAGTGCAAAGCGCATGCGCTTGGGAATGGGAATAGCACGGCCAACGGGCGAGCGGTCTGTGAGCACAGCCGTGTGGCCAACAGGTGAGATTGTCAACCGATGGCTGACTTGTTACAGCGGAAGGTTACCCGCTAAATGGCCACCTGCTGCCCTTTCAGACGGGATAAAGCCGCGGTGCAGTAATACAGGATACAGGATAGATATACGCTGTCATTTACTAGCAATAGACTGCAATTAAAACAGATTATTAAGAATTTCAAAATCTTATTTGGTTTTCATAGACATATAATTCTTTTCTTTCTCTCTTTTTTGCAATATTTTCCAAGTAACCTATATTTGACAACAGCATGATAAAAATGGAAATTCTGTTTTGTGGTGCCACCGCATTATTTTTAGTCGCCCCCATATGGCGACCCCTATGAAACTATTCTGGAGGCGCCCCTGACTGTTAGGGCTGCGTGGTGATTTAGTGCAACATGTTCGAAGAATAAAGTGGACTACAGTACGTGTGACCTTTGATAACAGTGCTCCAATGTGTTTGTTTATTTTTATAATTCCATAAGGTACTGTTATTCAGACCGAAGGCATGAATAATGTTTATTCAGTATACCTATCTACTTTAACGCAGGGGTGTCAAACATAATGCCCAGGGGCTAGAATTGGCCCTCCAAAGACTCTAATTCAGCTCATTGGACAGCTTTTAACTAAAGTTAAGTACAGGGTGGGCCATTTATATGGATGCACCGTAATAAAATGGAAATGGTTGGTGATATTAAAGTCCTGCTTGTGGCACATTAGTATATGTGATGGGGCAAACTCCTCAAGATGGGTGGACTTTTGTTTTTTCAATAGGAAGAGGACCATGTGACACATCAAACTTATTGGTAATGTCACAAGAAAAACAATGGTGGGTGGCCCACCCTGTATATTTAAGTATAACTTTTAAGTTTCATAGGTTTTAAGTTTTATAGCTTTTCTGACTCTTTTCTACCATTTATACTATACTACAGTAAATAAGTAACAAAAAATAACTTTTTGGTATTAAAATTAGCAAAACATTGCTTTTTATAATTACACTGAAATCTGGGAAGTCATCTGTTAGGGGTTTTATAACAAAGTGGAAGCAACTGGGAATGATAGCAAGTCAGCCATGAAGTGGTAGGCCACATAAAATTAAAGAGAAGGGTAAGCAGATGCTGATGCAGGTGGTGGGCAAAGATTGCCAACTTTCTGTGGAGAGCTTCATGGAATGAGTTTCCATTTCTGAGCAGCTGCATCCAAGCTTTACATCACCATGTGTAATGCAAAGTGTTTGATGCAGTGGTGTAAAGTGCGGCACCTTTAGAGCAGTGCAGACGTGACCTTGGAGTGACAAATCATAGTTCTCCATCTGGCATTCCGATTGACCGGGGGGGGGGGTCTGGGGGTGGCCCCCGTCCTACCTGTGCACAAAGAAACGTCCATAAAAACATGGATGAGTGAGTTTGGTGTGGAAGACTTGACTGGCCTGCACAGAGTCCTGACCTCAACCAGACAGAACGCCTTTGAGAAGACTTAGTGTGGAGACTAGAGATGGCACGATACCACTTTTTTATGTCCGATACCGATATCATAAATTTGGATATCTGCCGATACCGATATGAATCCGATATAGTGTTTTTTAATCAATAAAACTGTTTTTTAAATATCTTGCTGCATTTTGTATAAGTTCATACTCAAGTTAAAACAACAACAACTAAAGCTATTCTGTTATACCTGTATGCAAAAAATACACTGCACCAAAATATTTCATAGTTCAGCAATACTGATCAATCTAATAAACTTAAACCTACTCCATCCTCCCTATTCTGGTATTTTAAAGAGTAAGCAACCTAATAGGGTTGCAAACTCCCAGCAAAAATTAAATAGATTCAACATCTTTCTTCAACAGAACTGCAGACTGCACAGATGGTACCTTCCCAAAGGAAAAAGTACTTACTAGGGTATATTAGACTTAACAGTTACTATATACAGTAATGGACTTCTACATTTACATCAGATTAAAACTTTGGGTGTAAGATTCAGATAATTATTTATTAAAAGCTAGACATTTTAAATGAGAATAAGAAAGAAAAGTATGTCTTTGTGCCCCCTTTTCCCTGTTAATGCCCTATCGGCCCCCCTGGCTAAACTTTGCTAGATCCGCCCCTGCACAGTTACCAGCAGCTGTAGAAAAAGATCCTGGTGTAGAAAGTAATATTAAATAAATTCTAACAACAGCTTATCAAGCTTAAACGTGCTGCTGTTGTTCAGCCGCTGGTTTCCTCTTTCTGGTGCAAAGTGGGCCATAAACAAACAAGAGAGACGGACTCGCGACAGAAAAGCCGATCAGCTGATCATTAATCAGTTTCACATTGAAGTAGCAGCAGGAGAGGGAGGGTGAGAGAAGAGGCAGTCGCTCCATATATCGGTTGTTAAGGTAAACGTGGGAATGCTTTACAAACATTCAGAGATGAACTTACACACTTGCTTTACTTCTCTCTGGGATCACTTTCTCGGAGATGAAATGCTCAACCAGACCACCTACAGGTTGCATGCCACAGCCGCTCTATCACCTGATGCATACCGCTCCAACGTGCTAAGGTTATGAGCCAAGTTACGCCATGTCGCAAGTTTTGTGAGGTGCTTTTTTGATATTTAATGGATTGGATTACATTTTTTATTTCTCTCCGATATCCGATCCAGTAATTTAGGTCAGTATCGGACCGATACCAATACCTAATATCAGATCGGTCCATCCCTAGTGGAGACTGCACTGTACTTTGAGAAACTGTTTAAAATGGTTAACCTTTTTAAAACAAATTTTAAACATTTGGATTATTACCTTTTACAATGGTAATAAAGTCACCAAGAATCTTTGTGAAGAACCATCTGCAATTACTATGTCTAAAACACCAGCACATCAAGTGATGTTGAACTTGTTTCAGCTTAATGGTGTAATGTCACACTTTATACACTGAGTGGATGTAAGTTTTTAAAGTACCTTAGCAAATCATTCATAACTATTCATATTCTGTAATTATTCTTACAGCAGTAACGTTTAGGAAATGAGGGTTAGAAATACCCTAAGTTCAAAGAACAGAACACTTCTGAAAAGATTAACAAATAATGCTGCCCCCTGGTGGTGATAGTTTGAGTTCGCAGTTTAGAATTTTAAAACATACCTTTACATGCTTTGCTGGTGGTCCAACAAGCATGATTTACGAAAGAAAATGTCCTACAATAAAGAGTCATTTGTTCAAACATCATTGGGTTTTGTAGTAAGAATTAAAAAGGCAGACAGGCATTGAATTCAACATTTTTATTTTGCAAATCTTCTCCTTTTCCCCCCTTTACACCAATGAACCTCAAAATGAGACTTCTCCACAATCAAAAATCCAAGGCATATTTTAAAACGTGAACTGATGAGTCATGATCACATTTTAGTCTCCGCTACAATGAAAACAATGAACGGTGAGAATACACAAGAGGCTGTAGTCACTGTGACCTTTGTAATCCTGAGTGGTCACTTTGATATTGTGAATATTTATTTTTCTGCAATTCACTCACTCTAAACAAATTCCCTGATTCCTTCTTATTGTTTTTGGCAAAATACCCATTGCCATGTTCTAACAAAAAATGACAAATCAGCAAATGCACAAAAAGAAATGTGTATGGACACCGAAGATGAAGTACAAAAAACAAGGAACAGTTATTTACAAAATGTAACAAGTTAACTGAGTACATAAAGTGTAAAACTGCAAAGCCTTCATATTTATACCCTTACATTTCAACTATATTTGTTTGATGCAAAAAAAAAGTTCATAAAACCAGTCTTATGAGCTTTTGAAAAACTGTTATTGCTCCATTTCAAAAGTGCACAGCTTCCGTTTTGAAAATAAAATACAGACTTTGTTCAGGTACAGTTAATATTTTGCTGAAATGTTAGCTTTAACAGAAATTTTTCATGATGACCAAGAGCAAGTCAGTTAGAGGTAATTTAACTGCAAGTGCCAAAAAGGAAAAAGTTATGCAAATAGTAATAACAACAACAACAACAACAACGCCACAATAAATAGCAGTAATACTTGGAAAATCAAAGTGGTAGAAAACTACTATGAACTAAAGACACCAACTAGTTTAGAAAGAGTGCTACCACAATGTCAACGAAAATATAAACTTCTGTTTTTCCACCTTTTTAAGAAGTTATTCCTGAGATGTGTTCAAAAAAAATAAAAATATAGATTCTGTATAATATCACATTTTCAATCGAACATGCTACACAATTTATATGACAAAGAGCACCCTTTTCAGTAAAAAAAACAAAAAAAACAATACAACATATGGAAATACAATGGGCACAGACCTAAACTTTGAAAGATGAATGGCAGTTTTGACTGGCAGTCAGCTTTAGGTTGAGCGCCACTCCAGGTCCGGGAGTCATGATCTGACTCCACATGTAATTTAAAGAAGGAAATAGGAACTGTGTATTTGCTACTTTGACTGGTCACAAGGTCAGAGGTCAAAGATACTCACAGTGGTCAGCATTTTGTAAACATATTCACATCACCACAGAGCCCTTATCAGAACGCACAAAGAACAGGAAACCTCTCCCCTTCCAAAACAAGGTGTCACACACAGCGTAACACACAGTTTATTCTTTCCAATGATGCTTCCAAAAGTATCAATAAGTGTCATACACATTGCAACACAGTTTTTCTTGGGGCATGTTGTTGCTTGTCTGCACACTCAAATGACCCATTCACTCCAAGCACCAATAAGTATAGACTCTGTTATACTGAGTGCAGAGGGATGACGAATTTGCATCCAAAAGGTGAGTGGTAGTTGATTCCAACTTCTTGGTAAACCATCTTAGGGAGGCCAATATCACAGAGGTAGACTCTGCTGTCTTTGTCTGCTAAAGGCAGTGGAAGTCCTAAAGAGAGGGTCCACTTTGCATCCACACTCTGAGGCTGCTCACTGACTGGGGGATCAATACTTAGGACTGGAGCACGGTTCTTGTTGGCCCAGTCAGCAACAGATTGGTACCAGGACTGCTCTTTCAGCAGTGGATTCTCATGGCAGTCCAAGCAGTTGATGACGAGATCGACTGGGCTCATGGGCAAGTCTGGGACACAGCCAAAGAGGGAGAATGTTTTTTAGTTGTATTGCAAAATCATAACACAGAAAAAAAAAATATATTAGTGCATGTGATCCCATTACAAACAGTACATTGAGACACTACAGGAATTGAAAGTGCCAACACATGTGGCACTTTCAATTCCTGTAGCAAGGAGTGAAATTATCACCCCTTTCAAAAAGATGTTGGTGCATCTCACCATTTAGCTTTTAATCCAGAGGGGTATACTACAAAGCTCAACCTATATATTAAGTATTCATTGATGTATTATGTTGGTACTTATAAACACCCGATAAAAGAAAATGTAAAAAGTTAAGAGACAGGAGACACACCCTTTTACCACATTATGAGTCAAATAGTTCATCCACCAGAGGACATTCTGCAGCTTGCCTGTTGGCAACATGTTTGGATTGCTATAAACACAACAACCAGCTGATCCGAGCAGAGTTGGGCAGAGCATAAATGAGTAATCCACGATTTGTTATGACAACAAAACAAGAATATTTTTAAACTGCAGTGTCACATTGTCTTAGTAAGGACTCATAAATAACCTATACATAACAACTGTTAAGGAAATGTGTTTATTCTCTCTCTCTCTCTAAGACAACACTGATCAAAATAACAGTAAATAATTATAAACCAAGAGTGGATTATCTTGTATTAATTTAGACTAACTAAAACTTTGCAGAGATAAAACCAGTGTTTTGATTTATAAGTTTACGTCCAAGATATCAAGCACAAGAGGAGTCAGGAGTGTCTGAAATGGTGCACCTCCACTAGAGGGCAACATTTGCCTATGATAGTCAGTTCCAACTGGGCATGGTTAACACACAGTGCCCCACTTTTCTAGCAACATTGTTGAGACCTGTGTAGGCTACAGTGTGAATACAAAATACTTTAATACTAATACTGGTGGAGTTTTACCTTTGACGCTGGAGACCTGCTTTCCGCTTGTCTTGCTGAAGAGGTTGACCTCACTGGTGACCGACTCTTGCATTTTGACAAAATTAGGCAGGAACAAGATCACCTCCACTTCATGGTTGGCTAAGTGCCTACCACAGCTGATGCCTTGGGCTCCCTGAACATGGGGACCACACAGAAGGACTACGGTGGGTCTCTGGTGGACATTTTTTGGTGTGAGCCTATGAATATTTGAAAAAAGAAAGATTTCTCCATAAAAATCACAGGCAATGACAAGCCCATGAATTACTTTGCGATCAAACTGGCAATGCAAGTCTAAACCCCATCTCAAGGATTTTGTGGGAAGTCAGACACTCATTAAATTTCTGTAGAAAAGAAAAACTGAACCCCACCAAAGGTTTCTTAATTTTGATTATGGGAATTATGACAATGGTACTTGACTAAAGCATGTGAGCTATACTAAGTATTTTATTTATAATTACATTTTTAAAATATCCCAACCTTGATAAATCTTAAATAAAGTCTTCTATATTTACATGGTTTAATATTAAACTGAACAGAAGAATTGAGTGCCTGCTGGTTCTCACTGAAATAGTTGTGATTTTGCACTACAACACAAAATTAAACCTGATCTGAGTGCACTGTACTTCCAATTTAAATCTGACTCATGCAAGTATTGCAGTGCAAAGTAGATGAAAGGACTGAGGCAATAAACCAGTTTTGTTATGAGCTACTGTGTTGTGTTTCTTTGATGTTAAATAAGCCTCTGCCACACTTAAAAGTACATGTAAATAATACCGAACAGGGTTTGCTTTGGTCTTTTAGGATGTTCCTGACACTATATTTAATCTTAATGTAGAATGTAGTGTTTTCCTAAAACAATAAGCCTTGTTTTTCAGACAAGGATGTTTAACACACTGTTGTACATTCTTTTTCTTATAATACAAACCACTAACAGTAGCTAGCCATGAGACTGGGAAGTCTAAGGCGCTACTGAAGCTAGGACTGGTACTCCTTACCTGTTCGGTCCACCTAGCAATGTGAGAGCCATCTGACTGGAACAAACACCGACTGCTTCTAGCCTGCGCTCAAGAGAAAGACCCCAGCGCTCTGCAGCTGCTAGGAGTTGTTTATGAAGCTCATAGGGCACGGTGGGAACCACCAGACCTGTGTCTGCAAAAAGAAAACATGTGAGATGGAGACTGTGTTAATGTGTTTTCATTTCAGCACCAGTTTTAGTTACATTCTAGAAGCAAAACATTTAATAAAACTGAAGCCATTTAGCCATTAATCTCCGTCAAAATGGCTTTAGAAACAAAAGTAGAAGCAAAGTCAAATCTAATAATAGGACTTTGGTGATAAGGACATATTAGTCTACAGATAAACGCATTCCCAGGTTCTCCGGTGGACAGTAGTCGGGTTGCATTGAATCAGAAAGTAATTCAAATAACTGGATCGCAAAAAAAAAAAAAAAAGAAAAAGAAAAAAATAAATAACAGTAGGGCTGTTCGATATAACGATATATATCGGATAACGATATAAAGAAATCTATCGTTTCATTTTACGCTATCGTTTGTTTCGTGGTGTCGCAAACTAAGCTGTTTACGGCAATATTTCTTCATTGTATTGATGGTCACTGTAGTGGCTATATTAATTTCTTAAAGTTCTCTCTTTCTCTTATATTTAATATAACCACACTACGGACGGACGAGTGCCTGTTGTTATGCGTCGTCCTTAGCAACAACGACGGTAAAACCATCGCGTGTCCGCTTGTTTATTTTCCACATAAACCTTTCACAATAAAGCTCAAGATCCTGTTGAGACTTTTCAAAAAAAAAAAAACTGAATCACATGAAAGAGTATGCAGAGTGTTTACGGATGAGAAGCCAAAAAGAGCCGCCAGGTGCTAAAAAATAAGCCTTCGACTCAAACGTTAAAACAGGCTTTTCCCCGCAGCACCCTGTGTAATAAATACTCACAAAGAAAACGGCGGCCGTTAAAACTTATGTCTAAAAATGTATAATTTCATGCATCGTTAAAACACTCGACTTCGGGTACACGACGCCCAGCTGGAAACACGTTACGCAAGTCGAGCTGCCCGAGATTCACAGAATTTACAGAAATTGTTAAATTTTTGTGATTTATATCGTTATCAGGACGATACATGTCTTATATCGGGATATGAGCTTTTGGTCATATCGCACAGCCCTAAATAACAGTAATAATAATTTTTGCTTGACATCATGCAAACTCAAGCATTTCATGAACATTTGCGACAACAAATAAACCTGCAATAGAAACGTATCTGGGAGCATACACGAATAAAAAGTGCGGCAATATGAAGCTCATGCAGCCTTCAGCTTCTAAACAAAAAGACTGATAACACAACAGCAGCAGTGAAGATGATGCTGCCATAGTTTAATGTGGAGTCAGTCCACACACACAGACACAGAGAAGAGCATTGGGGGAGCAGTTACCGAGGTGGTGAACTTAGGTGGAAACTAGGGATGGACCGACCTGATATTACGTATCGGTATCGGTCCGATACTGAGCTAAATTACTGGATCGGATATCGGAGAGAAATAAAAAAAATGTAATCCAATCCATTAAATATCAAAAAAGCACCTCACAAAACTTGAAACATGGCATAACTCCGCTCATAACCGAAGCACGTCGGAGCAGTATGCGTCACGTGATAGAGCGGCTGTGGCGTGTGAGACCTCTCTGCGGTCTGGTAAAGCATTTGGAGCCTTGCTACAAAACCGGCATTTCATTTCATTTCAAAGTTATCCCAGAGAGAAGTAAAGCAAGCAAGTGTGTAAATTCATCTCTGAATGTTAGTAAAGCATTCCCACGTTAAGCTTAACAACCGATATATGGAGCTTAATAGTTCTACTAAGTACTCTTTAAAATACCAGAATAGGGAGGATGGAGGATTTAAGTTTATTAGATTGATCAGTATTGCTGAACTATGAAATATTTTGGGTGCAGTGTATTTTTTGCATAAAGGTATAACAGAATAGCTTTAGTGTTTTTTTGTTGTTGTTTTTTTAAACTTGAGTATGAACTTATACAAAATGCAGCAAGATATTAAAAAAAACTGTTTTATTGATTTAAAAAAAAAATACACTATATCGGATTCATCGGAGTCAGTATCGACAGGTATCCAAATTTATATCGTATCGGACATAAAAAAAAGTGGTATCGTGCCATCTCTAGTGGAAACAAATCATTTTTCTAGCATGTTTTGTTTCCACTTGTTACTGTAATCACCAATAAAAATTTTACTAGGAAAAAGTGTGGTTCATCAAATGACGTGCTTAACAAGCTCTGACATGATCAAAAGTGAACTTGTAGCTGCTTCTGTCCACGGTCGTTTGCTTTACACAGCAAAAGCCGCAGACGTTAAAATATGACGATGAACTGTTATGAACTTCGTCTGACACCATGTTTAAAATAGGCAGATTGCTGAAGGCTGATGATAGCCATCCCACGTTCTATCGTTGTGATACCTGCAAAAAGGAGAGGTGAGTCTAAAGTCGAGCATGGGGTATAGTAAAACATGTTTATTTTGAAGGTTTAGGTAAAATAATTTTTCAGATTTAGTTAATTTTAAAAAATAATATATAAATAAAACTGTATTATACATTTAAAAATATACACAAGGAAGCTTTCTTGCAGGGCAGCACAAGAAAGACATACATGCTTTTAACTGACATTACTTTACGTGAGATTTTTTTTATTTTTGGATTTCATTTTAATATGCCATGCATTTTTGAGAAATCTATGCAGTTAAACTATTAAAACATGAATTTTTAAAATAGAAATTAATGAGACTTATTTTGAAAGTCCTGTGTTTTTTGTTTTTAATATTTATTATTGCTCATTAGTAAGACTCTTAATTAATAAGAGACTAATGACTCTTCTTGTCATTGTTTGTTCTAGTATAAAGTGACCACAGTTTTTTGTCCTTGTCACATGATCTGTAAATAGTATCTCTGTATGTTTTTACTAGCTTGTGTTTAACACCAACCTGCCAGAGGGTCTGGAGATGGAAATTAGCCCAAGGCTGTAATCTGGCATATTTACATTTGTTAAAATGGTCATTAATATGTATTGCCCCTCTTTCTAAATAAAATAAATAAATACATAAAGACAAAAGAATTTCTTACCTAATTGCTTGATTAATCGGTTGAATAATCAATGACATACTGGATTAGGGCTAGGGCTGCAGCTAACTGTGAGTAAACTATTGGGGAAAAGCTGTTCTTCCTCTATCTGACCTGATCTTGCTCCCATCACAAGATTCTCCATTTCCCTTCCTGTTTGTCACTGCTGTCTGAGCAAACAAAGGAAAGATTGGCAGCCTTTAGAAAAGATGGCAAACATGAGGCAGTCAGAGTGATAACGCCTATTCCCCACAGGGCCTGAACTCACACGCACCATCACATGGTTTCTGACCAATTCCCAGCTCTTAGCTGCGGGACAGGACTGCACTGCACTGGACCCCCCACACTGGATGCTTCTCAGTCAAAACATGCAGCGGGTTCGCGTGACAAAAAAAGGGGGGCAAACATCACACAAATATGAACACCTGCACCTGGCTGTATCCCAACATCTTGTGGTGAGAAACTGGGGAGGGCTAAAGTAAGATGGATAGTGAGTCCATTCATCTTCTTAAAAACACACCATTACCCATGACCAGATGAACCATCAGACAAAGTATTTAACCCAAAAACATAATACATGCACTATACACTTTTAGGTAAGATTTGCCACCTTTTGACTTCAGGAACCTTTAAGAACTGTGTGAAGCACTCTCCAAATCGTTTTGGAGGCTTCAGCTACTGGACTGGTCTGTCTAACCTAATGACTCTTACTTTGGACTTCTTAAAAAATTCTGTTTTTAATTAGCTAACTATAGGAGCCAAAAACAATCATTTTAAGAGCACCGTTAAGAAAAAAGTAAATCATTGTTACAAACTCTTAATGCACATTTAATTAATTACGACAAAAGTAGCTTTTGGTTCACAAGTCAACTTTTCATAAGAAGTCCTATTTCAAGAAAAATTCTTAAATTCCTTTGTTTTTTTTAAATTGCATCCTTCATACCATGTAACCAAACACAATTGTTCTTGTGTATTTCCTTGAATTACTGTAATGTATATCTCCAGTTTGTTTTTCTTTTTTTAAAAATCACTGTACAAACTAAATTGTGTGGAAAGCTTTATAGAGGGTGTGCTAATCCCTAGCTATCCATTGCCTGTGGCACATTATAAGGGTAATAAGAGTCAAGCTGGGGGAACTGTGCGGCTCAGGGTCCCTTTGATAAATAAAGCTACTGGGAGGCAGTTAAGTCCTTAATGGCCTCTTACACATCTCCAGCCTGGCAGCTGAGAAGTTGGTGGCCTCACTGGTGTGCACAGAACTTACACTGACACAAAGAGACGCAAGTGCGTGCACACACACACACACACACACACACACACACAAACACAGACCCCACATCACACTCATATACACCCACGACTTTGCACCCAGACATGCAACACTCTCAATGACACACACATTCTACACACGCACACCCTCATACACAAGATAATTGCATATAAACACAGAGTCTCATGCCGTGCCTGAACGAAATTCTTGCTTATCTTTAGGTCGGCCCTGTTCCCCTCCCACTATTCTTTATTGATACCACACAAAGACTGCTAATATGTTTCAGTGGGCAACAAAAATCTAGAGCATGCCAATCCTCCTGTGAGCGATAAGCACAGGAAAGTCAACTGGTTCTTGTCATGCAAGTGCTGCCTTGAGTGCCAAGCTCAGAGGAAGTGGGTGTTGCATTAGTATGCACTAATTGCTTTTAAACCAACCCATCAGGTGCGCTTCGTAACTCTACTGCTTAAGTTTCTGCAACCAAAACGCCCCACCTTTCTCTCGCTCTCACATATGCATACAATTCACACACACTCTCAGTGCAGTATTAAAAACAGACTAGCTAAACTGGGTAGCTGTGAGTATACAGCAGCGCTAAAATAAACTGAGCTGGAAGTTATCCTTCAAGCGTGACAAGGAAACTGGCAAGACTGAAAGCAATACGCGCTGGTTGGATACGAGCCATGTGTGACTAAGGCTTGCACTGGGGTAGGGAGGGAAAGCAGCCCATTTCATTCACTTCTGTTCCACTTTAAGAGTTGCAGAGGTAGCAAGAAGAAAATAAAACTAACATTAAAATTTGAAATATTACCTTTTAGTAATTTAGTGGTTCAAACAGCTTAATATTGGAGCGCCACAGAGGTTTTTGAGTCTCAGTCTTCCTTATTGTTTTTACCTTTTCTAGGCACTATTAGTGCACATAATAACAATGTTAATATATGTGCAAGTAACTCCTATGAGCTCAAGCTCATGCTATACATTGCTCTAAACAACCAGGTCAGAGTTGTTAAAAATGGGTTGTAACGATTCAAAATATGCTTCTATCTATGCCAACAAAGTGATGCAGCACAAATAGTTAAAGTAAAAGAAGCTCATATTTAAATCATTGCAACATGTTTTCTAATTTGGCTTGCCTGACCTGAAGTTTCACTACAGTAGGGAAGAGAACAGCACAACTAAACTACAGAGGCTGCAACCTTCACAACAATGACTTATAGAAACAGAATCTTAAATCCCCATGTCCGCTTGTTATGTCAACCTAACCAACAGCTGGGCACTTTGTTTTACTTTCTGTGTTCTAGCACTGTGGTTTTATCTGTTTACTGGCAAAGTTTCCAGGTCAAGAGCACTGCGGTTTTTTCCTGCTTCAGAGGTGCTGTTTATGTAAGGCTGTACGGCGGCATACTAATTACAGTGTGCAGAGGACGGGGATTATGATGACAGGCCTGGGAAGCAAATCTGTCTGCACGGTAAGAAAGGAGGCTCTGCTTGGAAGCTATCTGCAGAATGGTTGGCAGCTGCTTATACTGAGCTCTCCTGAGTCACCACATAAAACTGTCGATCTGGGATAAAAACACCAATGTCACACACACCCGTCACCCTTGTACTAATATCTAGTCTTGCTCATCTTCAGAAATTTACATAGAACCATGCATCCTGAGGAAACAATTTAAATTTGAATCATTTGGTGTCAACATTATGTGACAATGCAGGGTTCAACACCTGATATTATCCAACGGTCAGCAAAATATGCAAATTACATTTGACCACAGAGACAACTAAGAAGCATACTTTGACCAAGAAAAATGTTTAAAAAAAAAGCACCTCATTTTAGGGTCTGCCTGTGGCAGGACTAATTTATTCTACAGTTAATTCCGTATCAGACCACATCAGTAAAGTTTAAAAACAGGCCACTCTTTGTGCTACAGCCATTACTGCTCACCTGACAACAATCACATCTTTGACTTCAGGGCCTGTTAGCCATTACCTATCTTGTGTCTGTATTAACCAATTACATAATATTCCTAGATTGAGCCAGTTTGAGAAAGGAGAGGGCCATCATTTCTATAGGCTTATGCCACAAGAGGTTGCAGAAGTTGCATCAAATGGCAAACAGTTTATAAAAAATAAAAAAAATAAAAAGGGGGGGGAAATGGCCTGTATCTGTGTTGAATAAAAGAGACACTATTAAAAGCTCATTTAATATCAATTGTAATAGAGACTATGTCACCATTTGACAAAAGCCATAACCCTTTCCCCAACTGTGCTTGTCAAAACAGTGCTGTTATATAACCAGAGTGTACACCTAGCCAAGGTTGAAACAGTGGGAGAAAAAACTACTCTGTCCAAAACAAACGAAACTAAAGACACACTTAAAAATGTCCTGTATATTTAATGTTCACCATCTTACGTAAACTTAAATAAGGATACTTCCCACGATGCACAAAGTATTAATGAAGGTGAGTCAAACTGTGTGGTAGCAAGATTAATTTTGTTCTTTTATCAAATATAGAAAACCAGTCAGAAAAGGCCTTGCATTTACATACTTCATTCTTATCCACTATTTATTTCTGTGAGGCGTGATCACAGAAAGAGATAAAATAAACAATAGAAAAAAAAAAATTTGCCTGTTACTCATTCAACATGACATCCGAGTGAAGCTGATATTTTTCAGATGTTACCTCAAAGTCCTTTTATGACCAATTAGAGAGCAAAATCACAACTCTTTAAAAGTGACCTGAATTTTGCGTGGAGTATTGCTAGTTATTATAGCTGGGTATCCAGCTAAAAAGAAACAGATTTCTACAGTTTTCAGGTGTAGTCCACAGTTACATAATTGTGTAAAGAAAGGATCTTTTTTGTTTTATTCTTTTTTAAATATTCACAGCGTAGTCTAGCATGGATCACTCAGAGTTTAACTACTGTTTGAATGTCCTGAAGCGTCTGGCCAACTGATCTGAACTATGATGTCTTGCAGGGCAGAGTACAACTGACTCACCGTTGGCTCCACTTGCAGCTTTGGCTTCTCTGCAACTTTGTCCACTTTTAATTAAAATGAAGTTAAATATTTTGAAACACTGGACCACAAATGGTCATACACAAATGTGTCCTTGCCACAAAAAATTTGTGTGCGCATCTTCTTCTTACCCGTACAGTATTCCTTGCCCCCATGCTGGGGCACAGTTATCTGTCTGTATGTGACCGGTTTCACCTCCAGAATATTCTCATCATGGCGATAGGACTGGGTCTTCTGCTCAGCCTGTGTATTGTGATGTTGTAACTTGTTGCTGTTGCTACTGGCCCCATCAATCTGGGAAAAAACAGCAGCCTTGTCGAACAGAGCCAGGTTTCCCTCAAAATCAAAGTCAGTGTCCAGATTCTCATCAGTCCCATCACCAAAGCATTCATCATTCTTTGATCTCTGCCCTCCAGCCCCTCCATTCCTCACATTGCTTCTCCTGGGTGTGGACTGTGTCGTCCCTCTGCTGTTTGATGAACCTGGAGACAATGGAAAACACAAACTGAGGATTGCTCACATAAAACAGGATTTGGTGTTGGACAATGCTGGCAAAGATTTAATCAGAACATTATCAGGGGTAGGTGCACAAATGGGACCTCACGATCCCTGAGGAAAAGAGTATATGTGCCATTGCAAACGATTCAAAACTTGTTATGGATTTAATTACCCAAGCATGCAAACATTTGAAAAAAGAAAGATTACACTCAATCATCAGAGGTGGTCTGTATGAAGTTAATAGTATATCATGTTAGCATTTTGAGCAGATCCTTTACTCTTACTCAAGGAGGAAAAACAATAGTTACACCACTACATTTAAATAAATTAAATAAAGTAGCAATGCTTGTCTTTTTCCATACATTTATATACTAGCCATTAAGATGTTCATAGTTTGCTGATGCTAGGCCTGCTGGCATAGTAATATTCCACTACAGCCACACGCCCTCATTACTCTGTTCATAGCTGAATAATGGTTAAGGTGAAAACAGGAGGATCAGATGATACAAAGCAAAGTGTGCCGACTCCTTACGTTCTGTCTTATTGTAAAGAGGCAAAAAATATAATACAGTCTGTTACAGAGTTTGTAAAAATAAAACTTATCCTAGACTTTTAGTTGGAGTAGAGCAGGGGTTCACATTGATGTGAACCTGGGGCACTTGTACTGGAAGGTCATTACCTTACAAAGTGCTCTGAGATTACTTATGTTTTCAACTGGTAACAATAAAAAACTGAACTGAAATGAAAATGTTGACCGTCTCTACTGTATTTGGCAGTAATGTGGTCCTGGCATGTGTCACATGTTAGATCCAGTTGTGAATTTTCAAGACAAGCTGACAAAAGGAGTGTGTTCATTTAGGTTCATTTTTGTAAGCTAAGCCTGAGCATGTGTCAAATGATGCCAGTCTTTTACACACATAAAATGACACAGCAATGTGTTTAGTTTTGGTTTTTTTATTAAAAAAAAAAAAAAAAAAAAAAAAAAGTTGGTCACCATCTCTTAGCTTTGTTGAAACCCCCCCACCAAAAAAAGACAAACAAAAAAAACAAAAAACACCTAGTGTACCTCAAATTGAACAAAATATTACAATAAAAATCTGGGAATTATAGTGTAATTAATCTCTACTATGGTGTCATTTAGAATCTAAAGAACAAATTAATCATATAGAACTTCCCGTCTGAATCCCCAGGATTAAACCCCATCAGCTGCAGGTTCGGAGCGGGGAGCCAAAGGCTCTGCTCTAAGCTGGCACACGCCTTTTTTTCCTTGAAACACAGATTATTTTAAATATATATATTTAATCTGTCAGACCCCATTTATATCCTAATCATCTCTAAATGAAGCTAGGAGCTGTCATACTATATTGAAAGCCATTGTGTTATAAACCGTGTAATCCATACACAAGTTCCTGCACTCAGCAGTTTCAAATTCGGACTGGGAGGTTGCAGCCCTTTTATCTTGGATAGCTGTTACTGCAGACTCTTATCGTCTCACGGATAGTTACGATAGCTCAATGAGAACAAAACACTGCTAACACTTAAAAGGTCCAATGGCTGAATGAGCGGTGCTTGATAAAGTTTATGTACATGTAAGCACAAAAAAAAAAAAAAAAAAAAAAAAAAAAAAAAAAAAAATATGCTAAAAAAAAAAAAAAAAAAAAAAAAAAGCAAAGCAAACTGGAAAAACCTGGCCTTCAACCCCAACCATCTAGAGCTCTCTCACGCTAACAAGGAGACACAGAAACACACTCACACGCTACTGTCAGTGTGACAGCTAAGGTACTCTGGCTTCTCTCACGCTATATGCTGGAAAGCATATTGTCATCGTACACTTTGCTTGACACAAATTTGCCAGCAAAACTAATTTGACACCGCTGTAGCTCTATTCAGCAGTGAATTGGTGCCCAAACATGCAATTACGTTTTACATCACAATTTTTTGTTTTTTTAAAGAAACTCATTCATATATATATATATAATATATATATACATAAAACTATATAATATATATATATATATATATATGTATATATATATATATATATTTTTATATATATATATATATGTATATATAAAAAAAATATATATTTTATAAAAATAAAAGCTAGCGTCTTATTAGAGCAAGCCAACAATGTCATTATTTACAAGGAAGTGTTTTGTCATGCTATGAATCAAAAATCTGAATGAACTTGGCAAAGCTCCAAGTTAAACAGGCTAATGAATAACAAGTAGACAGACAGTGAACCTTACTGATTTGAGTTTAGACAAACTTCCCACAACAGCTACAACTACAGAGGCCTGGAATGTTCTTAACTGAAATGTGAGTTTAGGTAAGAACACAGTGTTCAAACTGTGAAAGCGTTTCATAAAACAATATATTTTATTATTTTTAGAGATCTTTGTGGTTTTCATTAAATTGGTCCTTGCACTACTCAATATCTGGTTTCATCAGTTATCATCAGTGATTAGAAGAAAAAAAAAAAAAAAAACCCCAAACAATCTCTACGACGTAAATGTGACTAAAATAAATAAATAAAACAAAAAAAGTAAAAAACAAAACAACCACATTAAACAGACACCAGTAAATACATTTGAAAATGCAAAGCTTAGAAGTGCCATGAAAAGTTGTTGGTGAGGAGCAAAATCAAAATCAATCAAAAATGGAAGAGCTGCTGATGATTGTGGTGAAGCACATGCACACTGATAATCAAAAGGCAAAGTCAAATAAAATGACCTACTTACATACTTACAATAGACTCTCGAAGTCTATTATAACGGCAGCATTTTCCGATTAAAGGAAGTGTGTGAGGTTACTTAAAGAACAAGGATGTTCGTGATGGCATGGAAAACACAATAGGAAGGCAACAATGGTGGTACGCAGGGCAGTACAAGTGTTTGATTAGATTTGCAACTAAAAATAAATGGTTGCAGATTTTAATATGCATTAAGGAGCACGTAGGCATTTGAGTCTCACACAGTGGGCAGCAAAGAGGCAGTAAAAACATTTTGTATTTGGCTTTTGGATGGTTTTGGATTTATTTATTTATTATTTATTTTTTAACTATGATTTCACTCATATAAGCAGCTCCTCCAAAAGACAAGTTGAATGAGCTCTGTTTGGGGTTAATGAAATCAACTGTTCTTCTATACCCCTATGTATCCTCCTCTATATTCCCTTTGTGCTCTCCGAGAGATCATTAACAGACATTAAAAAATAAAAATAAAAAAAATTCCTAGAATCTGTGATCTTATGTGTGCAACAGCCCACCCTGCCTTCCCGTCTTTGTGACTGGGGGCTTTTTGGGAGCATGGCATTGCGTGTGAAAGGACCAGCCCAGCCCAAGCCACTCAGCACGTTGGCCCTGTGCAATTTGGGCATTAGCTCCCTGGCCTCCAGCCTGAAAGCAAGAGATTAAAATAAAAACTCAAAGGTAAACATTGCTTCCACAATTGATATCGCTTTGGCTTTCCAAGCACACTGGGACAACATGGCTTCCTGTCGGGGAGGGGGTGTCGGTTTCCTGTGCTGGCCAGAAGCAAGTCAGGGAAATGAGATGGGGGGGGGAAGAGTGAGAGAGAGAGCAGGGCACTAAGCACAAAAGCCTGGCTTTGCATAACCTTCTCTTTAGGAGCAGACACCAAGAGGGAGGGGTAATGTTTATTGATTTTAGTCACACACGTATTGTAAAGAGGAACTTTGGTACAAGTGTTTAGCACGCTATGGGAATCATAGTGGGGAGTTTTAGCGAGGCACTGTTTGGTCCCAGGCTCAGGTTTCTGAAGAGAAGGCAGCAACACGCACACAGGAACTGACAATGGATTAGCAATTTATGACTTATGACTTGAATCTATGACTTATTCATTTAATGAAACATGGAAAAGACCAGTTTTCTATTGTTCACGTTTCTATTTCGATGTTCAGGACGTAGTGTTTAATCACACTGGAGAACACTGGCAATTTTTTTTGACCCCTGACTCTTCCATTGTTTGGTGATCCTGAGTGTAAAACTGAACAGACTTTAAATGACTCCAGCAGAGGCCACAGAGCTGTCCAAGCAGATTTCCTCCTTATTTGCTGCTGACTAGAGGAAATACTGTTTTAACTTTTATCTAATCAGGAAGGTTGAGTAACACATTCTGATTTTTACAGCAATGTGCACAACTTGGGACAGGAAAATCTAAATATGTGCTTCAGTGTCAACATGCATCAGAGTTTGCATGTATAAAAAAGGTTACGACTGACAATAATAATACCCCAAGATCTTGGTTTTATATTTAAAATGTCGAAAAAAAACCCCTCTAAAATACAAAACAGAACTTTATCATTAAAGTTACAATAACAGCAACAAATTAATCAGTTAGTTCTGAAACTAACATCTGCCAAAGAGATGCATTGATCACAAACTGACCATCATACCAAATGAGATACCTGTATATTCCTCTATAGCAAAATCTACTGTGCAAAATAAACAAACAATTTAACAATATGCAACATAAAGATGGTAGAATCCATCTTTAATATTCTGGTATTTTAAGCAACCACCTCATGCTCATGATGCTTAATCGACATTTTACATCAGATTAAAACTTTGGGTGTAAAATTCAGATAATTATTTATTAAAAGCTAGACATTTTAAATGAGAATAAGAAAGAAAAGTATGTCTTTGTGCCCCCTTTTTCCTATTAATGCCCTATCGCCCCCCTGGCTAAACTTTGCTAGATCCGCCCCTGCACAGTTACCACCTGTCAGCTAAGTAGAAAAAGATCCTGGTGTAGAAAGTAATATTAAATAAATTCTAACAACAGATTATCAAGCTTAAACGTGCTGCTGTTGTTCAGCCGCTGGTTTCCTCTTTCTGGCGCAAAGTGGGCGATAAACAAGAGAGACGGACTCGCAACAGAAAAGCCGATCAGCTGATCATTAATCAGTTTAACATTGAAGTAGCAGCAGGAGAGGGAGGGTGAGAGAAGAGGCAGTCGCTCCATATATCGGTTGTTAAGGTAAACGCAGGGATGCTTTACTAACATTCAGAGATGAACTTACACACTTGCTTTACTTCTCTCTGGGATAACTTTCTCGGAGATGAAATGCCGGTTTGGTAGCGAGGCTACAAATACTCAACCAGACCGCTGACAGGTCTTGCACGCCACAGCCGCTCTATCACCTGATGCATACTGCTCCGATGTGCTACGGTTATGAGCAAAGTTACGCCATGTCGCAAGTTTTGTGAGGTGCTTTTTTGATATTTAATGGATCGGATTACATTTTTTATTTCTCTCCGATATCCGATCCATTAATTTAGGTCAGTATCAGACCGATACGTAATATCGGGAACCCTCATGTTAACTTTTATCGAGTGGAAAAAAGTTAGCGTTCATCCTCCAGCTTCACTGTTTAAGTTATGCTAACATAACTGTGTCGCTAGCGATCACGTAGCACATCATTATATACCAGCTGGTCCAACTTCAGGCACCATACAAAAGGTAACTGCTGTTTAGTTTTCTGTCTTCGTTTATGTTGGAAGTGATAGCAGAGCTGCACATTTTAATTTTTTCAGCAATCTTTCAGTCAGAACATGTTATATCATGTTTAGGTAGAAACTAGCAAAGCTAACTTCCTTTTAACTTCTAACTGTTAAATTTAACAAATTCTGTTTTAATGGATGCCGTGAGGTATAGGGACTTGTAAGATGTTGCTTTAGTTATGGTGACTGAAATGATAGTATTTTATTAGTTTGTTACTTAAGACTAATAAGCAGGTATCAGCATCTGTATATTGCACCTGTAGAGTTGTTAGGGCTTGCCAGTGTTAGCTGGAAACTAATATGGTTCCTTCTTGCTCAAAAACAAAAAATATCAAGAATAGCCATTAAATTAAGTGGATGGGTGAGTAATATCACAGTGGTTATGTTAATCTTTTGCATGCAGTCTAAGGGCACATATCAACCCACAGCACAGCACACTGAAAACATGAGAGTTTCTTTGCTCAGCACAACAGTCACTCCCTACCTGTCCAACTCTCGAGCTTACCCGAAACAAAGCTCAAGTTCACGCATCACCATTTTGACAATGTGAAATCCAGGAGATTGTCCTTGATGTGTATAGAGTGTGCATTCCAAGCGTGACAGTTTGGCTGGGAGTGGTGTAACGCTGCACTACTTCAAACAAACCAACTAATTTCAAGTCTTTTTTCAAATCAGTCAAGGCACCTTGCAATTGCATCTCATAATAGCTGTATGCTTTTTTACAAAAATTCAATTATCATCCATTCACTTCCACTTATCCTTTTACAGGGTCGCGACGGGGCTGGAGCTTATCCCAGCTGTCTTAGGGTGAGAGGTCACCAGTCTGTCGCAGAACTAACATATAGACACAGACAACCATTCGCACTCACATTCACATCTATTTGCAATTTTAGAGTATCCAATTAACCTATCCCCACCAACTGCATGTCTTTGGACTGTGGGAGGAAGCTGGAGTATCCAGAGAGAACCTACGCAAACACCTGGAGAACATGCAAATTCCACACAGAAAGACCCCGGCCTGATGGTGGAATTGAACTCAGGACCTTCAACAGTGCTAATCACCATGCTGCCATTCACTTCCACTTATCCTTATATTACTCAGTTCAAAATTCTGACGCGTCCTCCTTTACATTGAGCTGATAATACACTGGGTGATTTTTTTCAGTCGCGTTTGAGCTCCTACTCAAACTGTACAACTGAATTGCAGGGGTTAGAAGTTCGTAGCTCACGATATATGTTCTCACACTATATGGCCCGATCCGAGGGGCGACCAGGATTTCAAACAGGTTTGATTTTCTTGTGACCACACGATTGCTGACTGGGAGCTGGCTGTGAGGTGCTAATTGCTTCTTGTTATCTCTTGTATGCTAAGGCGAAAATCGGGCCGATCCCCAAAAGGGTCGCACGAGTGAAAAATCGTCTTAAAATGTGCGCAAAAATAAATAAATAAATAAAAAATAAAAAATAAAATCGCACAGTGTATGCCCAGCTTTACATTACATCCAGCAATTTTATGCTAGTTTCTTGTTTCTATCAGATAAACATTTCCAAATCACTGGAAATCTGTGATTGATTGTTTGGTGAAAGCAAAGTGTGTATATCAAACTAGAGTTAGGTCAGGGTGGCATACAAAACTAGTCGTGATAACCAAAATCTTTGAGCTCCCTTCCAGTATCAAAGACAAATTGATACTAGAATACTTTTTAGTTTCAAAAATTGATTTTTTGAAACTAAAAAGATGAATAAATAAAAGAGATAAATAGCAGTACAAGTAAAAACACAATACAAGTTAAAAACAGTAAGAATTTAAAAACTAAAAGCCATAGTATCAGGCTATTAATCATTTTATAGTTTAGATTTTATGTAACCAAAAATGATTTCCACTTCCTCTTTGTTATTTGGTGAAGAACATTTCGATTGTACAAACACAAACTCTGATGTTGAGTGACACTGCACTTTTGCCCATCTTCAGTGAGGCAACTTTCAGGCAATTAAAAGTGGGATTGGGAAATATGTGAAATTGCTGATTGTCAACAATTTCACATATTGCCCAATCCTATATTGTCAGTGAACAATATCAATTTCATTTTCTACTTAACAGAAGAGAACTCTATGGTCATTGCTGTGGTAAATTCCTGTTACGTATTTCATCTCTCAACATTATGGCTGCACTCTGCAACAATAGCCCTCTGTGATTTGACAACTAGGAAACAAAGCTTCACAGTAAGCAATAAGCTGAAGTCTTAAAAACACAGGGATTTCCCCATTTTATAAAGATGTCAAACTGTCTCATTGTTCTGGAACAACTGTAAAATAATATGTCACTATTCTCGTATGATAATGCCTAACCACATGCTTTCCAAGCTGTGTTCAGTTGCTGTAGTTTGATTAGCACATCCTTTGTTGAGTCTAAAGGTCACTCTGTTATCTGTCATATCAGTGGTCAAGATGTTATATGAACGGATGCTTACAAGTACAGCATTTGTCTCATGTCATAGCAAAAAGGTTTCTGACATGTTTAAAAACATAAATTTGGCATTTTCATTGGTACAAAACAGATTTTTTTTCTTCCCTACAAGTCCAAAAAAAACAATACTTAAAAATGAAAAAAATGAATTTAGTAATTTTCACCATACATTTGAATTTTGTTATTACTTTCCAAACATTAGACTTTGCATCAAATAATAGGACAGGGATAGCTCAGTAGGTAGAGTGGTGGCCCCATGATCGGAAGGTCGGTGGTTCGACTCCACTGAACGGCTACCCTGAGGTACCCCTGAGCAAGGTACCGTCCCTACACACTGCTCCCCGGGCGCTGCATGGCTGCCCACTGCTTCACTGGGTGAATGGGTTAAATCCAGAGGAACTATTTCCCTACGGGGACTAACATGCACACTTTACTTTACTTTTATATAATTAGAGAAGTAGAACATAGAACAAATTATTAAAGTGCTGCATTTTTGCCAAAGTCTAAGTTTGTGTGCACCTGCTTGAGTCTTACCCAAGAAGGGTATGGAAGGGAAAAAAAACAAAACAAAACACTAGCTTATTTTTGTTAACATGAACAGACAAGTGACTATAACGTACTGCCCTTTAGTGTTAAAGTGCTTTATTCCTATATTAACTACCAATTAAATAAACATTAATTTTATGATGAAATGTCAATTCTTTCAGGTCATGACCTACCTTTTCGGGGGTTGCTGCTCAAACCAGAGCTGTTGCTTATTGCAAGAGAGTGATTTGTTTTGTTAGTCTGGCCATGGCGTCCTGTTGATATGTAGCTGGGTTCTGTTGCAGTGTCTTTCCCAGCACTGGTCTTGTTGACTTTGTTCTGGATATCCAGAAACTTCAAGTCCTTGATATCCATAGCACTAAAAGGGACAAAAAAACAAAACAAAAACAAAACTAACATTACTTGGAATCCAAATGGTACTACGTTAATAATGAAATATCCATTCGTTACATTGCTGGGAAATAATTTTCAATCCAAAACCAGAAAAAGTGATATTAACGGAGTTCTTGACTGGTTCTAAATTTTTAAATTAATATATTTTGCCTAATTTTAAAGCTACTCATTCAACAAGCACTTACAGTCAATTCGTTTGTCATTCATAGAAAAATATGGAGTTTGGGATGACTATGTTTAAAATTTTCAATGAATACATGGTGATGCCAAACCTAATAAAAACTAAGTAATACTGGTACAGTTATGGAAAAAAATAAGTATATACCATTATTGATTTCATGACATTTGGATAAACAAAGACTTGATTTTCTCTCATACTGGGCATATTATTACATCTTTTTGACTTTAGAAGCCACTATAAAACTCATTATCACAATACTGCTTGTTGAAACTGATGCTGTCAAACAATTTATGTCCACTGTTACGGTGGAAAAAAAGAACGCATTTCTGATTCGTCTAACCAGAAGTCATAACAGGCCTTCACCTCTGGGTTTACTGGCAAGCAGTAGCTTGTGCTGATGTTTTCTGTGGTGAGCATGGATTCCTTGAATTTGAAAATTTTTCAGTCAACTCAAACTTCAGTTCACTGCAAAGAGTTCAATAATCATTCTTTACTTTTAATTGCTAAAACATGATCAAAGTTCAACATAACATGGGGATCTGTTGAATTATTAAGCAAGGTAGTACACTTGTTTAGTTTTGTATTAATTTCCAGATGCTTTTTATTTCAGCAAAATAAAAATGTGACATGTCAGTAGCACGCACTGAGGATTTTATACAAACACACACACTTTTTTCAAAGTTGTACTCATGCACTAAAGGGGAAGCTGAAGGGTCTTTAAACACACACACACACACACACACACACGCACACACACCAAGGAGAATTACAAAACCTGGTCAAAGTTCTGAGCTCCCTGGTGTATTCTATGCATTACCTGAATGTGACCTCAGGAACAGGACACTTGACTCCATTGTGATAAGGATGTTTCAGGGAGATTGTTTGGCTGACTCGATCAACAGATGAAACCTCACCCTGATAAACTCCCAACGTTGCTCCACAGTCTATGGACACAACACTACCCACCCAGTCTGTGGCCATTCTCTTTACAATGATCCTGTTTTAAAAACAAAAACGGAAAAAGGGCTTTAGTGAGATAAGTGTTAGATAAATGTTTAACAGGCTAATTCAGTGTAACGAGTACATACGGTTTGCAGACTAATTTATTAAAAGTTGGCTAACTTGGGCCATTGTAGGCATGACCAGCAATTAGCCATCTGGCGTACAACTTGTTTTTTCGACCAGAGACCTTATAAGAAAAAGACTTTACACTAAGAGTCCTGAACGCTGAGTATAAACTTTGCGTTAGTAAAAGCGGCCGTGGAAGCTAAAAATCACAAGATAAAACTAGATTTTAATTAGCTTAACTAACCAGCACCTGTGTGGTTGTGGTGGGCGTATTACAAATCAGACGTTTCACAAGTAGGTGTAAATATTAGCAACCTACCGTTTTAGCAGGAAAGCCTTCGTTTGTCATGTTGTAATACTTAGTTATTTATTTAAAAATGACCAAAGCTGCTGCTGACATTCTTGCGAGGACAATATTTAAACAAAATTACGCAAATCTCAACATTTCGCCGTATACCAAGGAAGCTATGATAGCTAGCTCGGTAGCTAACATTAGCTTGTCTTCTGTCCCCTCTTTTTTCTTTCTTTGTTTTAATAAAAGCAGATTGCAGCAATTTTGAATTTGGTTTCTGTCGCCGTTGAGCTAAGAGCCTAAATCTACTGAATCTACAGTGGGTAGATTTACCTTAGCGAAAAGCTGTGGTGAAATGTCAAAGCAAGACAGAGCCCAGGCTGTTTTTTGTTTTTTTTTGTGAGCGCTGTGTTCCGGGATACTACGTCACTTCCTTTATGTCCCACGTTGCTTTGTTTGTGTCTGTCTCCACTCATGTGACGATCAATACTCACACATAATCTCACTATGTACACGATTCTTCTACAAAACTAATTATATTGTGATTATTTATGTGTTATTTGTTTCTTTATTCATTTATTGGCGGTCTTTTTTTCCCCAAGTCAAGATGAACGAGAACAACTAATTAAAATACATTTTTATTTGTGTATCAAGGTTTCATGCCCTTACATTTTGTACATTACCAACTGAAATATAAAAGTGTATTACATATATTCCAAAATCAATTGATCGCAATGCTGTCTTGATAAGTCATATAATTGCACAGCAAATATAAATGTTATGATCTTAAAAACAAAATAAACAAACAAACAAAAACAACATTATGAAATACAAAAGTCTTGGTGTTCACTCAAAATCACATTTTGGGATACAGATATAGCTTCAGTGTGTCTTACATCCACAGCATAATGGAATGCAAATAATTAGCTTACATGTGTAAATGTTATCACAAGGTAAAATATGTTCACTTCAGAGTCCCGTAGAAAAGGTTTGGTTGCAGCATACTAAACTATCCACCCAATAAGACATATGCTTTGTCCCAAAGTTCAGTTGTTTTGTTTTCATTTCTGAATGGGAGCAGTTTATATTGCTGCTAACAACACAGCAAGAGAAACAAACTAACTCCTTAAACTTCACTGAGAAGCAGCAGCCATTTGCAGAAGTATCTCTTAGCGAACCAAAAACAGAACAAGAGACACGGACCTAGACATCACTTATAATGTGCAATAAGCAAACTCTGCTTATTTGCTTTAATGCCATTAGCTCTATAAGCCAAATTTGACATCCATTGTCTTACATTCTAACTTTGATCCTTACAGCTTCAGCTTATATCACCTACTAAGTTACAAATTGTACATTATAAGGAACCTCACTGCTCATTCTTAACTCGCATTGTGGCTCTCAGATGGTAGCGTTTGTGCTTCATTGTTAGACCATACTCTGGGGTCAGGTCTAGCTGGTCTCCAGGTAAAGCTTGAAAGTTTAGTTTTTGAATGAGGATAGCCAAGAAGAGGAAGACTTCATTTCGTGCAATGACCTCGCCAATGCAGCGTCGCTTTCCCAAGCCAAAAGTCATCACCTTCTCTCCTTCTACCTTGTTGACCTCAGTGCCATCAGCATTCAGGAAACGTTCTGGCTTGAAGGAAAATGGATCTTCCCACAGCTCCCTGAAAGGTTCAGAAAAAAGAGGAATAAAAAATATTGCGCTAACAGGCTTGAAAGCTTACAAATCTCTAGGCAGATTTGGGGAAGGAAATAAAGACTACTATTGTCTTTCTTTACAACTATCCATAAAATGGCCTGGTGAAAGACATGTTACTGTATTTCTCCAGTACAGGGTAGCTTTGAATACGAGTCAGTTTGCATCATTCGTTTTGGCAAAGTAAAAATGTAGTAAAGGAAACCTACGGGTCATGGTTGATCTGCCACTGATTGATGAAGACACAGGTGTCTTTGGGGATGAAGTAGCCATTCAGTGATGTATCTTTTGTGGTGCTAAAAAACAACAAAGTGTTAATTCATTGCAAAATGACAGGTTTTCACGTTTATTTTTATGACTGTAAAAGCCTTGTTTTGTGTCCATCTTTTTGGTCTTCTGTGATACTTAGCAGGTCATTTAACACCTATATCCTTTTAGTTTCTTATTACAAAATGAATGAATCTCACCAGTGCGGGATTGTGAAGGGCAGGTATGAAGAATGGCGAAAGAGTTCCAGGATGTAGGCTTCAAGAAGGGGCAAGTTGTTCCGATCAGAAAAAACAGGCATACGATCGAGACCTACTTTTTCCTCTGAAAATGAAAAGAGATGATAAAATATTAGCGTACGAGAAGATGAGGATTGACATTGTACCTTCTGACTCTGTCAGTGATTACCGAATTACAGTTAATCATTCTGCTTTGAGAGCAACAAGATGCGATGCACTTTCTTATCATTTAGTTGTTCTTTTATCAAAAATCTATCATGTAAGAGAAATACAATATGTCCCCAAAAAAATTATACGTACTAATTTCTTCAAAAAGCCTGTTCTGGATCTCAGGGTAAGCCACAAAGTACATCAGTGACCATGACAGAGCAGTGGAGATGGTGTCAAAACCTAGGAGAGACACAAAAGTTCTGTCAGAATATTTTTTTCTCCGAAGTTATGTTCCTTTATGATTATATCATTTAACACAAAGAAAATAATTCTCCTACCAGCTCCAAATAGATCATTGACGATTCCAACAATCTTCTCATCTGACATCTGGACATTTGCATTCTCGTCCAGCTTTCTGTCCTCGCAGTGATCTATGAGGGAGTCTGTGATGTCACGGATGTTGTCCTAAAAGTGGATTTAAGGACCATCTAAATTAATGTCTGTAATTTCTGCAAAGTACAATGAGCTAAATAATATTGTATAGTGTGAGGCGTACCTTGTCAAAGGTGGCATAGTGCTCGGTGACAAGCTTTTGAACGAACTTGCTGAAGCGAGCATTGAGGCTCACAAATTTTTTCATTTTTGTGCTGGGCAGGTACTGAAGAAGGGGGATGAAGTCCGCTGGGTTGCCACTGCCCACAACCTTGACAAAATCATCACTGAGGTTCACTAAGCTAAGCAGCTCATCGTCATGGTGGTCATAGCGCCGGCCAAAGCACATGCCACAGATGACATTGGCAACAGAGACGACGACGTAGCGGAAGGGGTCAAAGCTGCCTTTGGTCTTCATGACAGTGTTGAGCTCTTTGATCAGATACTCAGTCTCTTTGCTGATATGTTCCTCCAGGGCACATGAGTACCCTGGGGTTGTGCTATCTAAGTTGGAAAAAGAACGCAGGGCACTGTAGGCCAGCTTTCTGCGGGCACGCCAAATGCCAGCTTGGTCTGTACTGAAAGACAGACTCTTGCCATCATTGATGTAGCGAAAGCTGTACAGGTCAGGTCTGCCTGCAAACTCGTCCCCTTGTTTGATGAGAGCCTGTCGAACTGTTTCATTACCACTTAAAACGACCACGGGACGCATGCCAATCTGGATCTGGAAGACGTCACCGTAGCGTTTGCTCATAGAAGTGAGACTCAGGTAGGGTCTATTTCCCAGCTCTAACACATTCCCAATGATAGGGAAGGGTTTTGGGCCAGGGAGTTGCTGAAGCCCCTCGGGAATCTTGTTTTGTGCATTCTTAATAATCAGGTAGACCAGACACGCTGTTGTCACAGCCACCAAAACATGTGACACTGACAGTGCTCCAATGAATGGCAGTATCATTAGTGCCATGATGACGTTTTTCTGGCTTCAACCTGTAAATTAAATTGCAGGTGCATTAGAGCAGTGTAGACAATGGAAGAGAGAGAAATAAGTGTTACGCAACATGTAGAAAACATTCACTATAAAGTTTGAAGTAACTGAGAACTGACGTGTATTTGCATGTATCTATTTGGCTTTTTATTTTTAAAAGCACACCAGCACTTATTACAGGTAGTCTATGCAAAGTAGTGGCCTATGTGTATAGGTATAAATTAATTACTACAGTCTATGATTCAGGTGAAAATACTAAGTAATGCATCAAAGTTATTCTAGCAGAAATAATCTCCATTTTGCACTTCTCTTTTCTTCCAGCTAATAAGTCAGTCAGCCTATAAATCAGTCTGCTGCATTCTTGCCATTTTGTATATGCATGTTTTAAGCTTACCTTTGATGAACTGATGCAGGAGAAACGGCACTCTGATTCCTGGAGTAGTTTTTCCAAAGTGCATGTAAAATGTTTGGAAGAGTTGTTGTGAGGTCACACTCTTGATGTCCCTAAAATCGGCAATGGACTCCTGCTTTATACTGTGCTCGACAGCTTGATTGGCTACTGTTTGTGACGTACCCTGCCCCCTCTCCCTCCCTTTTTTGTCATGAATGAACTTAGTACAGAAAAAACGGTGCGTGCCTGCCTGCCTGCGCGCGCGCGCGCGTGTTCTGGAAAAAAAAATACATAAGAAATGCAAAGAGGAGTCATCATGTCTTTATCATTTATATGAGTTTATATTTTTTGTTTAGGGCCACATATGGCATAATCATTTTTTTTATAACTTCCACAACTGTAGGACGGTTTTTAATCTGTGATTACTTTGCCTTGTGCCAACTTTCTTCGGACTGATTTAGCTTGTTTTTCGAGTGTCACAGTCTGAGCGGTAAAAAAAATACTGTTCTTATTCTCATTGCCAATGATTGCAGGCTGTTGCATCTCCGTGATTCTTGCCCAAGCACTCGGTGATGTCTCAGCAATTCCTTCGACCAACTTATAACCCGCTGTAACTTGTATCGATAATTTAGGGCAGCTTGTTACTAGCGTGATGTGAAATTGGTTTTACTGGGCAAGAATGGACAGCGCAATGAGTCGAAAATCACCTACATCATTGCAGCCCAGTTTTGCATGAAAAATGTATCCCCTAAAGATGATAACTTATTGAACTACAGAAGGACCTGGTCATGCTTAAAACATTTGGAGTTAGAACGGACGTTTGTGACAACCCCCCAGTTGTAACCTCCCAGACGGCTTTAAGTCCTGATAAAACAGTCAGATGCCATTGCGTGCTTGTACCTGTTAGTTCTCCGCTGGAGTTAAAGATTGACCAGTTGCGTGAGAGCACAGTGATCAAGCCCTCACCTCTCCTTTGAAGGGGATGCTGGAGGGGAGGGAGAGAGGGAAGGAGGGAGGGAGGGAGAGCAGTTAGGTTTCACTGCTCGAGCGCTGGGACAGATACGTTCAGTATTCATATCTCATTGTCACCACTTTTATTCTTTCAGTATATAATTACACAGAACACAGTGTAATTTAGGGGTTAACAACTGCATTTTAATAATA